CTAGGCTATTGAGAATGGGCATGCAGATTCCTGAGCTTCTTACGCAGCGCAAGTCAGCAGCGTTCCACGCCCACTTTAACGCCCACAAACCGCCGGGAACTGTGGCTCCTACAGTTTTGATGCTAGAGTAAAAATTTAAGCTGAAATAAATTGTTGTCATCAGTACCCATGGATTGACCCAAAAAAGTTTACCACGCCCAATCTAACGCCCATAACGCTTAAGTCTGTCTACCGACCACATAACCATATATTGAGATCAGGGGTAGGTGGCGCATTTTAGTCTCTGTTCGAAACCCGTGATAGATTCCTTGCGAGAATATTTGTGTGCAGTGTAAGAGTCTTATGGTAAGCCTCTTTGTATATTGATATTTCATCTTTAACCGGCTGTGTGCCATGATCCCTGTGGATGTTGTGTGAATGTTGCTGTTGCTTGCTTCCCCAAAGCTGGGAGCCGTGAGCCCAAATGGGCTTAAAAGTGAAATTGTATAGCAGAAACTGGGGGTCCAGACACAGGGGTGATCGAGAATTTATAATCCAGTGTACGCTGCTAGCTCTAAGTGTCAGAAATGCTTATTTTCAAAATAGTTTAAAAATGACTTTTAATGAAATATGGTAATAACTCTGGTCTTTATAAATTCAATTGAATTTCTAAAATGATTTACAATAGTTAAGGGAATACCCTAAACTTAATTTCAATTAAAAACCCTTTCCGATGGGGATTATCAAATGGCAATTGCTAACACAGCCACACTAATAGTTGTCAAAAAATTTGACGCTTGAAAATTCGGTATAATACTTTTTCTCGCACGACTCCGTCGAATTGGTAAGGAAATACGACTGACTGCAAGAATTCATTTGTTCAGCGATGTTACGCTGAAAAAGGTTACTTCAGGTGACAGTGAGGACCCTCTACAAGCCATAAAGAGTCAAAGAAGTCTTTGGACAGGTAGGCACCTAACAAATTATTTATTTTAAAAGCCTATCAGCTAGATTGTTTTTCCGGATTTATAACATATGGCTTTTCTTCCATTTAGCGCCTTTAACCGATAGAAGGAGCAGCAATAAAAAAAGCCTTACAAACAGACAACTCCTCTTAACGTATTTTGTCCTGGTAAGCAATCTGTATTAAATAATGTTAATAACTTAGTTTTTAAAACCATTTTAGTACCCCCATTGTAGAACCGTTGCCCGACAAGTTTTGTCTTTATAGTGTCGTTTTGAATGTTGGCATCCAGGGAATGTCTGGATATTTGAAAGCACTTCAAAACTTAAGGAGGGCTTGGTGCCGCCGTCGGAAGCATGTTGTATCAAAGGTCAGAAGAAATCAGAATTGTTACCTTAAAAATAACTGGAATGTCTTATGTCCGAGGGGTCTTCCTCAAAATGAGTTCAAGAAAAAATTGATACGGCGGCGGGAAATAGGCAGGAAGTCTATCAATGATACCCAGTATCGTCGCGTTTACGGTGGTGAAATCGTCTTTAATCACATAACTATGGGTGAGGCGTGAGCGCTGCAGATCACAGCGAAATTGAAGAGTTTGATATTAAGCTTAGCAAAACACCATGAGAAAAACCGGACGTCCTGTTTGACCTGTTAGGGCTTAAATATCTGCTTCCCACGCAGGCAACGGATGTTATGGTAATTGAAGAACTACCTCGATAAATTAATGCTGTGGAGCCGCAGTTCATCATCACGGAAACCTCTTCTAAAGATGACATTCCAGAGATAATTGTTAAGCCGTTAAAGAAGTGCAACTGAATGAGCTTAGACCATAACTTCCCTTCTTGATGTTAAAGATATTGGATCAGTCCCGCCGAAGCCACAAGATGAGTCAGCAATTCAGGATTGGTTTCAACAGTGTGGTAACCCGATTACCCAGCAACTGCAATTCATAATCAATTACGGGAGTGCTAAGCTACTGTCCTCGAACCGGAAACCATTATTTGGGAAAGCGAGCTTGCCTACAAGCAGATAAAGCCCATTGTCAAGGAAGGTGGATCAGAATGTTTCCCTCTGAGAACGAATGGCAGAATGGATTTATAGCTTTCCTCGAGGACTTCGAGGATATCATTGACCAAAATATGTCGGAGTACAGGAACCAGTAAGCCAAATAACTCGACTCCAAGTGGAATCAGTAATATGGCTCCAAGTCGGCGAAGCATTTGTGGAGAATGTTGGTTGTTTCGCCCTTACCAGTTCATCTGGAGCAGGTTCTCCCGAAGATCAGGTAAGGGCGGAAACACCAACGTTCGCCCCAAACGCTCCGTGGCCTTGAAATTATATTGCTGATTCCTCATGAAGAGGAGTTCTTTTGCTTCCGGATCCCTGTATTTTCATATGTTTTGGTCTGCGACGTCCTCGTAGTCCTCGTGGCGAACTGTAAAGCTATTCTGCCACCCATTCTCCTGGGGAAGCAAACTGATGCACCTTCGTTGACATCGGTGCCTCATCTGCTTCTTGGCTATCTCGCTTTCGAAAACAATGGCTACTGGTCATTAATTATACATCGAAGTTCCTGGGAAATTTGTTAATTCACCAAGAAGAGCGCCTCTTTAGCTATTTAGATATGCTCATCGGCAAAAAGAACCAAAATTTATCGGATGTCATTTTGAAAAGCTTGTTATTTTTAAAGCAAATAAATGTTTTACAAATATAAAGATTTCTCTTGGTTGGATATTTTAAAAAGCTTTGAAATGTATTGTTCCGTGACACCACAAATTAAATTTCAGTTGCCAAACCAAATAAAGTTCATTTTATTATAACAACGCATATTCTTTGAATCCTCAAGCTACAACAAACTAAGATTCAAATTAATAGTCAGCTTTAAATTTAATGGTACTTCTACTTCTAGTCCAATTCGCGACTTATTTAAATACTTGGTAAAAAATACTAATTTTAGTTAACAAAAAAAGTATCCTTTTAAAAAATTATGCTAGTTAGAATATTGTACCTAATATTATTTTTTGGGGTTGTATTTTTCACTAGGCATTACTTTTTGCATTCTAACGAAATACATATGTTATTAAGATATATTTTCAGTAGCATAACTTTGGGTCATCTTAGTAATGGCATTACTTTTGGGACTCAATAGAATTACTTTTTGAAAATCTAATAAAATGAATTTTAGTATCATATTTTTTTGGTAATCTAACAAATGGTTTATGTAGAACTACTTTTTCCATTGCAATTGTTTTTTTAATAGCACTATTTTGTTCAATGCCGATTGTTTTATTAGCAATAATATTTTAATTATGTATATTTATTTCAACTGCGGGAAGCACCAATAAAATATTTAATAATAATAATAATAAATTCTGAGTCAAAAGTTCTTTGTACGGGTAGGAACGGTAAATATATTTCCATTTAAGGCTGGGAAGCTAGAACCATTTCCGTATTTATAACATTTGAATTTTCTTCAATTTACCGCCGTAGTGCCCATAGAAGATCCAGAAATAATTAAACCGGTTGCCCTGGGAAGTTATATGTAGAAAACTATGTAAGTAATTTAAGTTTTTGAAACCATTTTAGTGCCCTTATTTTAAAATCGAGGACCAACTATTTTAATTTTAAGAGTGTCGGCTTGGAATTGGACCTCAATGGAAACTCTTAACCGCTAATGAATGTGCATTGTCCCGCAGATATTCATCCAGGATAGTCAAGACCCCCAGATTAACAAACACGAACATTGTAAAAACTTGCATTCAATTTCAACAGTTTTGTAATTTCGTCATTATAATATATCACATTTTACATTTGATTAAATGAAGAGAGGTGCTGGATCAGCGGCGTAGCTAAGGGGGGCGGAGTAGGCCAAGGGGGAGTAGTAAGCCAAAGATGAAGAATAGGCAAAGGAGCAGCTGCGTTCTTGGCGACCACTGGAGCAGCGACGATTCCATTGTGCTTTTAAATATATATGGTAGTCTCCTGTGCACTGCCGTCCACCAGTAACATTTTTATATCCCCAAGCTACTTACACGGAATTATGGAAGTGAATTCTATTAATGATTGCGCGATCATGGAACATTTTTTTGTTTCTTTCGGTACATTTTTCGAGCCTTTAATAACTAGCCGAAAGCAGGAACAGTTTCTTCAACACTTCATCCGCCTCAGCCGTGGTCATGGGAAACACTGGCATCATTGCCGATTTCAAAAAGTCTAGCCGTCATTCCGGGCGTTTCCTTGTTCCTGTCGCACTTCCGATCACACCCGACATATATGCCCAACATCTATGTCAGATGTGATCGAGTGCGATATCAGATAGGCTGGATATGAGTCAATGGCATTGTGATGATTATCAACTGAAGAAGTAGCGCAATGTTGGCCGAAACCCAAAGCGATATCGTGACGAAGACTATCGAAATGGTGAATTTCAAGGCTCTTACACTCATATGCTTACGTTACTTTTACGGTGCCAACTAACCTTGGACCGTAAATTTGCAGATATTTAGTGAGGTCTGCGCACTATCCTCAGAACCACTCCTTCGTGAAATGAACTTCGGTCTAATATGTGAATAAGGAAATGTGCGGGAGTCTCAGCTAGACTCTACGAGTCGGGAATGATCCAAGTATTTGCCATGACCACGGCTGAGGGAGACGAAATGCTGAAGAAACTGTACCTGCTTTCGGCTAGTTATTAAAGGGTATTTTGACATGTTTCTGTCAATAACATCCTCAAGGTGAAATGTGGAGCTAGTCTGCCAATCATTCTCCGGGGGACACGATTTGATGCACCTTCCTGGAAATCAGGGCTTTATCTGCTCCTTGGCTATCTCTCGTTTAAGATCAATGGCTCTTGGTTTCGTGGGCGTTAGCTTGGCACTCTTCTCATGGACTAGAAATGGCATATGATGGGGATGGTGTCAGAAGTTGCTTAATTAACGAGCTTAGTGTCATTACCGATGGCAGCAGGATTTGGCACCGACCTGCGTTCTATCGGCTCCTGTTTCACCTTGTAATTGTTGGGTAATCGGCGGGGCTTGACTATCCTAGATGAATTTGGTGGGGCATTGGATTCTTGTCGACGATCACTTGCGGCGACGTTTTTAAAATCGGTGTACTAAAATTTTGTCTTATTAATCAAGTTATTTACCTATTTTAGTGCAGATAGCCTACCAGGTCAAAAGAAGTACAGAGGAGGTGTCTGTTTGCTAGGACTAAGGGGTTTTCTCGATCTACTGTCGGAACTAAGGCGCTTAATGGAAGAAAATCGAAGCTGTAAGTACGGAAAACACTATCATCACAGTGCCTACCTGTCCAAAGACTTGTTTGATGCCTTCGTTGGCATCATGTCTTTATGGCTTGCTTAGCGTCCTTCATTGCGGCTGCCTAATGTACTGTTGTTCCACTGTCATATAAAGTAATCTTCTTGAGCTTATCATCGCTGAAAAAGACTTTTATAAACTCCTCTTGTAGTCAGGGGTATGTCCTTCCAAGTTCTAAAGGGTATCCACTTTAATTTTCAGCGTTATCACGTGCGAAAAAAAATATTGTACTGAATTGTCAGACGTCAAATTTTTCAACAACAACAACTCTTTCAGTGTGGCTGCCGTTTGATAATCCCTAGCTGAAACAGTTCTTAATAAGACAAGAAAGGACGCTAGACTCGACTCTAGTGCCTCGACTATCAGATATGCAAGCAGCAAAGCGATATTGTGAAGCGCCACCTACCCTCGATTTCAATATATTGTTTAGGGTAGGTATTGATGATAAGTATTGACTTGGCAAATACATTTTAGTTAAAATTTGTTTTCTATTATGAAAATTGTGTTGGCCACAGTTTTGGCGGCTTCTGGGCGTCAGAGTGGGCGTGGTATGTTTGCTAACAAAGCTATGAGATTTAAATCTGAATTCCCAATTCTCTATCTTATTAGTTTTGAAGATATCGGCGTTCAAGTTAACGATTTTTTAAAGTTTGTAGGCGGTTTGTGGGCGTTAACATTTTTTTTAACAGTTTTTTGGGTTAAGTGTGGAACAGGTAGAAGAAAGTGTTTCCGATCCCATGAAGTACATATACAATATATATTCTTGATCAATATCACTAGCCGAATCGATCTAGTGAGAGAAATCAGCGTTCGAGGTATCAGCGTTCATATGGACGGTTAGTGGGCGTTAAGGTGGGCATGGCACATTCGCGTAACAACCTAAATTTACTAAAATTAGGGGCGGGATATTAAAACAAGACATTTCTTTTTACCAACCCATATAAAAAACTAAACTCTTTGTGGCAACATTCGTTTGTATTATATTTATATGTATTTTCCTAGGTGATCACAGTTTGATTTAGATAAACAGTGGTGCGTGAGCAGCGGCGTAGCTAAGGGGGGCGGAGTAAGCCAAGGGGGAGGAGTAAGCCAAGGGGGAGGAATAGGCCAAAGGAGCAGCCAGAGGAGCAGCTGCGTACTTGGCGACCACTGGAGCAGCCACGGGAGCAATCACTGGAGCGGCGGCGATGCCATTGTAGTTCCTGGCGATCACCTGGCTGCTGGTGGCGGTCACGACTGGAGCAGGAGCAGCGACCACTGCAGCGGGAGCAGAGTAGGCCAGGGGAGAAGTGTAGGCCAGCGGAGCACCCAGGAGACCGGGCTTGGCAGCAACGCAGGCAACGATGGCCAGGATGACAACAGCCTGTGGACAAGCCAAATGAGTTAATATAATCCTCTGAAGTTGCTTTTTGAAGAACTTACGTATTTGAACATGGTGGCTATATTTCTTTGATTTGCTTCTTCGGAAGGCTAGAAACTGTTTGATGTCGAACTGCTTTTGGTGGAGCATATTTATACCCAAAACCTTACTCCGCTCTGACTCATGTGCGCATTCAGTTCATTTAAATGCTGCGGCAGTCTCCCGTTACCGTTTGCACTTTACCATACTTTATGTGATTTCCCACTGCTGAATGTGGAATATCTGTTGGTGGCCAATGGATTCGATGGCCTGAGGTCTATATAAATAGCGACATAAAGTGTTGAACGGCATCACACAAGTTCAAGTTTTCGAATCGAAAGCACTAAAAATCAACCGACACAATGTTCAAATCCGTGAGTTTGAATATTTGATATTTTGTCTTGTTTTCTAACTGTTTCATCCTTAGGCTGTTGTCTTCCTTGCCATCGTTGCCTGCGTTGCTGCCAAAACCGGACTCCTGGGTGCTCCTCTGGCCTACACTGCTCCACTGGCCTACTCTGCTCCCGCTGCAGTGATCGCTGCTCCTGCTCCAGTCGTGACCGCCACCAGCAGCCAGGTGATCGCCAGGAACTACAATGGAATCGCCGCCGCTCCAGTGATTGCTCCCGTGGCTGCTCCAGTGGTCGCCAAGTACGCAACTGCTCCTCTGGCTGCTCCTTTGGCCTATTCCTCCCCCTTGGCCTACTCCGCCCCCCTTAGCTACGCCGCTGCTCACGCACCTCTCTTCATCTAATCAAATAAAATGTGATATAATATTAAATTGAAGAAATTACAAAACTGTTCAACTGGAATAAAAGTTTCTTCAAAGTGTTATTCTGAATGCGTGTAGTAATTGAGTAAAATGCCCTAATTATTTATATTTTTATGTCAAGGTCGAAACATTCTAAGGTGATACTGGAATGAACGCTACAGTTGAGTTAATTGGTTAATCTGCTACGACAGTCCGATCGATACATCAAATACACCGATCTAAAGGTATTATTATGTTATTTTAGGGTAAGGTTAAGGTAAAAGTAAAAAAGGAAATTTGAGTAATTAAAGCTAAAGAAAACGGAGGAGGCAAATGTATTTCATTTTAAATTTTTAAAATTTTTTTAATTTTTAATTTTTAATTCCAATTTTTTTTTTATTGAACAAAGAATGATTTGACGAAAAATGATTTTAAATTTGACAAAATAAATTCACTATATTAAATTTACCTCCTTGGCGCGCTACAATAGAGAAGTGAAGTTGACTAAAGTTGAAGTTGACTAAAGGTCAATAGTTAACTCAGAGAAAAACACCGTGCCAAAATCAAGTACAAAAGTCTTGATTTAAGAACGTTTTCATGCTTACCATTTTAAAACCGAATCATAATTTCAGAATCTTGAATTCCTCTTTAAGTCAAGACTGTTTGTACTTGATTTTAGCACCCTGAGTGTTCATTTTATAGAAATCGTGGTACGTAGTCAGTTTTGTGTGGGATGCAATTTTCTTTAATTTGGAGGTGCCGAGTTGAGCCTGTTGTCAAGAACGCTGCTTCGCGCGGCCTTGCCCTGCAGGTCTAGGATCAAGGTTTAGAATCGCATTTAGGTAGAATGGATAGTGTGGAGCGCTCCACTGATGTAGAGTTTTTTTTTAGAGCTGATATCAAAGCATCGAGAGCCACTCGTAGCTGAGATAGCTTGTCCAAGTCCGGGATTCTACCCCAGTAAAACATCACCCCATCCCCGGTTTTACGGGAAAGTTTACTTTAAGTACTTTTCGCCGGCTGAAAAATGTCATGTTGCATACAGCAGATCAATTTTCTTCTGATTTCTGAGTCAAGCAGAATATCCGCCAAGTTACAAGCCGCTGGCGTCCTCCTAAAGTCCACGCTCAAATTTATTCGTAAATTTTTAAGGTTTGAACTGACAAAGAGCGGGGATAGGCTTAGACATCCATCTCCTTTGCTACTATTTAACCCCTCTTGCTAGTTAAGATCCCCTCCGTTTTTTGAGGGGATCTCCATTGCTAACACGTCGGTATAATTTCTGACATTTCCGACTCCGCGTTTTGTAATACCGTGCTAAACGCACAACTTACCAATAGAGAACATATTCTTTGTACTCGCATTCTGGGCCGAAACTTTAGACATATTGCTGGCGGCATCGCTGGTAGATAGTCCCTTCCGAAAGTAATTCTACATCTCTTAGAGGCCGTTCTCCAAGTTACTTTTCAACCTTTCTTTCGATCCGTTGGTCGTTTTGGCCTTTTTATACCCGTTACTCGTAGAGTAAAAGGGTATACTAGATTCGTCGGAAAGTATGTAACAGGCAGAAGGAAGCGTTTCCGACCCAATAAAGTATATATAGTCTTGATCAGGATCACTACCCGAGTCGATATAGCCATGTCCTTCTGTCCGTATGAACGGTGAGATCTCGGAGCCTAAGAGCTAGGCTATTGAGATTTGGCGTGCAGATTCCTGAGCTTCTTACGCAGCGCAAGTTTGTTTCAGAAATGTGCCACGCCCACTCTTACGCCACAAGCCGCTTAAAATGTGGCTCCTACAGTTTTGATGCTAGAATAAAAATTTTAACTTAAGTGTATTGTTCTCATCAATACCTACATCCATGGCTAGACCGTTTCTATGAAAACCAAAATTTAGCGTCTTACTTCGAACTTAAGAATATAACTGTGTGTTTTGATGCCTTCTGACATTCAAGAAACAATTTATTTAATTGTCATGTACTTTTACTTTATGCACTGGAGGAATTTTAAGAAAAATTTAATATTGATCCATAGGTACTTCCACAGTTATGTCGAACTACTTTGAATGCGAACTTATCTAACCTTTGTACAATAAATTAAACCTTCGCCCCAAATGCAAAACCCAGAAGTTACAATTTAGAAACCCTATTTATGAAAGTGCTCCTTTGAAATTGCTGCAACTTGGCAGTTGACCTCTAAAGTCATCTTCAAGATGATTGGAACTTCCTATTACTGGAAAATCAAGGGTCACTCTTTGACCTTGACATAATTGCCATGCCCTGTACTCCAAAGCTGAACCAAATAGTAGACCCCGAATACAAATCAATTTCGCACAATTTCATGTAACAAACATGGGACGGCAGCTGCTGCCGCTGAGCTAGATAAAAAATTTTAACTGAAATGTATTGGTCTAGTCAATACCTACCGATTGATTCAAAAAAAAAATTTGCCACGCCCACAAACCGCACAACCTGTGACGCTCACAATTTTCATGCCTATCGATTGATCCAAAAAAAATTTGCCGCATCCACTCTAACGCCCATAACGCTTAAATCTGTCTACCGCCGGTAGGTGGCGTATTTTAATCTCGCTTTGCTGCTTGCATATCTCCATTTCCCTTTGGTCCCTTTAGCTGAGTAACGGGTATCTGATAGTCGAGGTACTCGACTATAGCGTTCTTCCTTGTTGCTGACTGGTTCCGTCACTTTTATCGACATCTGCCGCCTGTTGCCGTCGTAGCAAGCCTAGCAATCTTGAAGTCTTTTATGACCTTCTTGGACTTTCTTGAAATCCTCCATTGATTACTGGTCCCTTCTGATGGTGTTGCTGGCTAGTCGTTCCAGGATGCGGTAAGTTTTTTGCGCTCCAGAGGTTCCGCTTGGCTTGGTGGTATCACTTTTAACTTCTTGGCCCTTGTGCTTACCACAAGATCGGCCTTAGGAAGCCACCCAAGTTGGTTTGCTTGGTTAGCTGGCCCTTTGCTGGCGGGCACAAAATGCTTTCAAATTTCTGATTTTTAAGTTGCTATTATTATTTTCAAAGGCACAAAAAATAAACAAATAAAATTAAGACAAATATTCTATGTTGATTTTATCTACTTCTTCTTTTGTGAGTATTTTAAATTAGGTTAGCTAATTTTTACCAGATAAAGACGACATCTACGGCAAGCCAAGCTTTTACATCCATGGCTAGACCGTTTCTATGAAAACCAAAATTTAGCGTCTTACTTCGAACTTAAGAATATAACTGTGTGTTTTGATGCCTTCTGACTTTCAAGAAACAAATTATTTAAATGTCATGTAGTTTTACTTTATGCACTGGAGAGAATTTTAAGAAATATTTAATATTGATTCAAAGGTACTTCCACAGTTATGTCCAACTACTTGAATGCGAACTTATCTAACCTTTGTACAATAAATTAAACCTTCGCCCCAAATGCAAAAAAAAACAGAAGTTACAATTTAGAAACCCTATTTATGAAAAGTGCTCCTTTGAAATTGCTGCAACTTGGCAGTTGGCCTCTAAAGTCATCATCAAGATGATTGGAAAATCAAGGGTCACTCTTTGACCTTGACATAATTGCCATGCCCTGTACTCCAAGCTGAACCAAATAGTAGGCCCCGAATACAAATCAATTTCGCACAATTTAATGTAACAAACATTGGACGGCAGCTGCTGCCGCTGAGCTGACAATAATTTTTATCGCCATTACGTGACGAGAATCTGAAAACTTTTAAATGTCCCATCAGCAGGCAGTGGGTATCGGAGGTCTTGGTATGCCAGCGGTAAATCCAATTAGCAGAAGCCGAGAAAGGAGGAGAAATTCGAGTTGGATTGAAATTTTTATTTGTTTTAAGGCTTAGACAAGGACTGGAGCAGCTGACAGGGCACTGTAGGTCAAAGGTGAGGAGTAAGCTAGGGGAGAGGAGTACGCCAGAGGAGCAGCTGCGTACTTGGCGACCACTGGAGCAGCCACGGGAGCAATCACTGGAGCGGCGGCGATGCCATTGTAGTTCCTGGCGATCACCTGGCTGCTGGTGGCGGTCACGACTGGAGCAGGGGCAGCGTAGGCCAGCGGGAGCTGAGAAGGCCAGGGGAGCAGTGTAGGCCAGAGGAGCACCCAGGAGACCGGGCTTGGCAGCAACGCAGGCAACGATGGCAAGGAAGACAACAGCCTAAGGATGAAACAGTTAGAAAACAAGACAAATATCAAATATTCAAACTCACGGATTTGAACATTGTGATGGTTGATTTTTAGTGCTTTCGATTCGAAAACTTGAACTTGTGTGATGCCGTTCAACACTTTATGTCGCTATTTATACACCAAAGACTGCGTCTGTGACCTCAGGCCATCGAATCCATTGGCCACCAACAGATATTCCACATTCAGCAGTGGGAAATCACATAAAGTATGGTAAAGTGCAAATGGTAACGGGAGACTGTCGCAGCATTTAAATGAAGTGAATGCGCACATAAGTCAGAGGGAAGTAAGGTTTTGGGTATAAATATGCTCCACCAAGAGCAGTTGGACATCAAACAGTTTCTAGCCTTCCGAAGAAGCAAATCAAAGAAATATAGCCACCATGTTCAAATACGTAAGTTAACTGAGGAAGGTACTTCAAAGGATTGTATTAACTCAATTAGCTTATCCACAGGCTGTTGTCATCCTGGCCATCGTTGCCTGCGTTGCTGCCAAGCCCGGTCTCCTGGTGCTCCTCTGGCCTACACTGCTCCACTGGCCTACTCTGCTCCGCTGGCCTACGCTGCCCCTGCTCCAGTCGTGACAGCCACCAGCAGCCAGGTGATCGCCAGGAACTACCAATGGCATCGCCGCCGCTCCAGTGATTGCTCCCGTGGCTGCTCCAGTGGTCGCCAAGTACGCAGCTGCTCCTCTGGCTGCTCCTTTGGCCTATTCCTCCCCCTTGGCTTACTCCTCCCCCTTGTCTTACTCCGCCCCCCTTAGCTACGCCCGCTGCTCACGCACCACTGTTTATCTAAATCAAACTGTGATCACCTAGGAAAATACATATAAATATAATACAAACGAATGTTGCCACAAAGAGTTTAGTTTTTATATGGGTTGGTAAAAAGAAATGTCTTGTTTTAATATCCCGCCCCTAACTTAAACATAATTTTAGAAAATTTAGTTTGTTACGCGAATGTGCCATGCCCACCTTAACGCCCACTAACCGTCCATATGAACGCTGATACCTCGAACGCTGATTTCTCTCACTAGATCGATTCGGCTAGTGATATTGATCAAGAATATATATTGTATATGTACTTCATGGGATCGGAAACACTTTCTTCTACCTGTTCCACACTTAACCCAAAAAACTATATACTTTTTACTCTATGAGTAATGGGTATAAAAATGCTTACTAGTGATACTTTATAAAATACGGTAGTAACTCTGGTTTTCAGCAATTTAACAGGTTCGATGCTGTTGAATTGCTAGAATGTTTGAGTTTGTATGTAGCACATGATCACCAGATGACCAAGATTTTAAACAGTTTAGGGAAGATCCTAAACATGTTAATACCCGTTACTCGTAGAGTGAAAGGATATATTATACTTGGTGAAAAGTATGTAACAAGTAGAAGGATGGAGACTCCTTGTAGAATATGTATTCTTGATCAGCATTACCAGCCGAGTCGATCAAGCCATGTCCGTCTGTCCATGTGAACGCTGTGATCGCTGAAACTACAAGATCAAGTTTGTTACGCGAACATGCCACGCCCACTCTGGCGCCTCGAACCGCCCAAAACTGCGGCTCCTACAGTTTTAGTGCTCGAAAAAATGTTAACGACCACAAACCGCCTACAACTTTAAAAAATCGTTAACTTCAACGCCGATATCTTCAAAACTATTAAGATAGAGAATTGGGAATTCAGATTTAAATCTCATAGCTTTGTTAGTAAACGTACCACGCCCACTCTGACGCCCACAAGCCGCCCAAAACTGTGGCCAACACAATTTTCATAATAGAAAACAAATTTAATATTTGCCAAGTCAATACTTATCATCAATACCTACCCTAAACAATATATTGAAATCGAGGGTAGGTGGCGCTTCACAATATCGCTTTGTTGCTTGCATATCTGATAGTCGAGGCACTAGAGTCGAGTCTAGCGTCCTTTCTTGTTTTATTAAGAACTGTTTCAGCTAGGGATTATCAAACGGCAGCCACACTGAAAGAGTTGTTGTTGTTGAAAAATTTGACGTCTGACAATTCAGTACAATATTTTTTTTCGCACGTGATAACGCTGAAAATTAAAGTGGATACCCTTTAGAACTTGGAAGGACATACCCCTGACTACAAGAGGAGTTTATAAAAGTCTTTTTCAGCGATGATAAGCTGAAGAAGATTACTTTATATGACAGTGGAACAACAGTACATTAGGCAGCAGCAGTACAAGGACAAGCGTATGAATTCTTAGTCAAACAAGTCTTTGGACAGGTAGGCATTGTGATGATAGTGTTTTCCGTACTTACAACATCGATTTTCTTCCATTAAGCGCTTTAGTGCCGACAGTAGATCGAGAAAACCCCTTAGCCCTTGCAAACAGACACCTCCTCTGTACTTCTTTTGACCTGGTAAGCTATCTGCACTAAAATAGGTAAATAACTTGATTAATAAAACAACATTTTAGTACACCGATTGTAAAAACGTCGCCGCAAGTGATCGTCGACAAGAATCCAATGCCCCCACCAAATTCATCTAGGATAGTCAAGCCCCGCCGATTACCCAACAATTACAAGGTGAAACAGGAGCCGATAGAACGCAGGTCGGTGCCAAATCCTGCTGACACCATCCCCATCATATGCCATTTCTAGTCAATGAGAAGAGTGCCAAGCTAACGCCCACGAAACCAAGAGGCATTGATCTTAAACGAGAGATAGCCAAGGAGCAGATAAAGCCCTGATGTCCAGGAAGGTGCATCAAATCGTGTCCCCCGGAGAATGATTGGCAGACTAGCTCCACATTTCACCTTGAGGATGTCATTGACAGAAACATGTCAAAATACCCTTTAATAACTAGCCGAAAGCAGGTACAGTGTCTTCAGCATTTCGTCTCCCTCAGCCGTGGTCATGGCAAACACTTGGATCATTCCCGACTCGTAGAGTCTAGCTGAGACTCCGCACATTTCCTTATTCACATATTAGACGAAGTTCATTTCACGAAGGAGTGGTTCTGAGGAAAGGGCGCAGACCTCACTAAATATCTGCAAATTTACGGTCCAAGGTTAGTTGGCACCGTAAAAGTAACGTAAGCATATGAGTGTAAGAGCCTTGAAATTCACCATTTCGATAGTCTTCGTCACGATATCGCTTTGGGTTTCGGCCAACATTGCGCTACTTCTTCAGTTGATAATCATCACAATGCCATTGACTCATATCCAGCCTATCTGATATCGCACTTCGATCACATCTGACATAGATGTTGGGCATATATGTCGGGTGTGATCGAAGTGCGACTTTTTTTTTTTTTTTTTTTTACTTTTATTAATGTGGAAATTTTATTCTTAGGATTAGCACACTGCTACCCGACTGGCAGCTTAATCTAATCTGTTTTTTTCAAAATAGATACAATACTTAGTCTAAGGGTTCCTTAAGGCAAGAAATAATTTCGTTATTTTTAGTTATTTGATATTAATATTGAGGGTGGTGATGTTGCTAGGTCAAAATCCGGTCCGGTAGGTCTTGAGGGTGGTGTCTTTTTAGTCTTCTTTTGACTCGGTTGCTTGGTTCAGCGCTGTTTATAGCAGCGGTACCAAGTTTTCTGGCTAGGCTGTTGGGGTGCTCGTTTAGCCTTTCCATATATTTTCGAGAAAGTTCCTGCAGCTTGTCTCCAAGTTTGGGCACATTGAGATCCCGTTCGATGTCTCTGGTTCGCATAAACCACGGAGCTCCAGAGATGGTTCGAAGTGTTTTCGCTTGCAAAACCCGGATTTTGTTGAGGTTGGTTTTTGCAGCGATGCCGTAAACCTGGAGTCCATAGAAAAGACTGGGCGCTAGTATGGACTTATAGATTTGAACCTTACAGCCAAGTGCGAGCTTGTTGCGTGGTGCGAGAAGCCAAGCCATCCGAGCAACTTTGGTCCTGAAGGAGTGTTGGATACACGTAATGTGCCTGCCAAAAGTGAGTTTTTTGTCCAAAGTGACACCGAGGTACTTGTATGCAGGAAGGGCTCTGATTGGACTTTCGTTGAGGCTGACTCCAGGGCAGCTACTTCGGCGGTTGGTGAACGTTACATTGGCACATTTGTCCGCGTTTACTCGAATGTTCCAGTTCATGGCCCATTGGTGAAATGCGTCCAGATACTCTTGCAATGCAAATGTGGCAGCCAAGATACTTTTGCTTTTTGTCAGGACAGCAGTGTCGTCGGCGTAGGTCGCAATTAGCACGTCTTGTTCCTCAACTTCAGTGATTGGAGTTTGTGTAGGCATATCTGAAGCATAAATTGAGTAAAGAGTAGGGCCGAGGACGCTACCTTGGGGAACTCCGGCAGAGATCGGTTTGGTGGACGACTTGTACCCATCGGCAGAGACGTGGAAAGTGCGTTCTTCCAGGAAGCTTTTCACGAGCTGGAATAGCTGTGGCGTAAAAATACTTTTGGCTTTGTACAGGAGCCCAGGGTGCCACACTCTGTCAAAAGCCTGCTGGATGTCAAGGAAGGCAGCAACTGCATACTCCTTCTTCTCCAAGGCTTCTAAAACAAAGTTAACAACTCTGTGTAATTGCTCAGGAGTTCCGTGTTGAAGACGAAAGCCAAACTGGAATTCCGGAATCGCACTGGTGACATTCTCGTAAGTGAGTAGCCTGTTCAGGATCAGCCTTTCCATGATTTTTCCCAAGGATGGTAGAAGACTAATATAGGCCTATATGAGTCCACGTCAGTCGGCGATTTACCTGGTTTTGGGATCATGATTATATTCGCCGATTTCCAAACTTTCGGGAAGTATCCAAGAGTTATTACGCTGTTGAATAACGACACCAGGAATTGCAAGGCTTGATCCGGTAAAAGTCGAATCGTCCTGTTGTCCAGAAGGTCTTCCCCGGGAGTTTTCTTCGGTGAAAGTTTACCTACAAGGTCTTTTACCTCTGTCAGTGTGACAGGGTTAGCAGGCAGGCTCATTTGAAAGGGAGATTCCAGGAACTCATCAACTTGTCGACGTATGCTTTCAGGCGAATAGTCGTAAGGCTTGAAACGTTGTTCGAGGTTGTTAGCGAACGCTTCAGCTTTCTCTAGGCTCGTGCGGCACCAGCCACCTGCGGGGTTTCTAATTGCTGATTTTGGGGTGGGCTGAGCCTTGTATCGTCTTGTGATACGCCACAGCGAGTAGTTAGAACTAGCGTCTGTGTCCAGATTTTCCATAAAGCTGTCTATAGACTCTTGTTTTCTTCGAGCGAGCGCTTTGCTTAGACAGTTAGCCAACCGATTATGTATCTGATGGATTCGGGCGTCTCCCGTTCTTGCGTATTCTCTTCTTACTCTTCGCTTTAGGCTGAGAAGTGCCCCAATTCTGGGTGGTAGCAGGAGATGTCTAGAGGTCTCTGTATTTTCGCGATTCCTGGGTGCAGCTATCTCAGCAGCCTCGCTTATCATGCGCATAAAAAGGTTGATGGCACTGTCAATGTCAGTAGGTTCCTGGATTTGTATGTTAACATCACTCAGCTGTTCTAGATAGGCTTTGAAGGCGTTTATATTAGCACCTCTGGCAAGTAGTCGCGGGCGCTGTGGTTTTTTCATAGGTGTGGCATGCAGTGTGGCCAGGATAGGAGTGTGGTCCGAGGAGAGTTCATGGAGGGTTTTTACTTGTAGCCTGTCTATAGCGTATCCATTGATTATGAAAAAATCAAGCGCTGTCGGTGTTATCAGGGGGTTATATGAGTAGAAAGTGGGTTCACCCCTGGCAAGTACTTGGTAATGCCCATTTGCAACGACTTCTTGCAACTGCTTACCCCTGCTGCTGGCTCGTGAGTTTCCCCACCATGCATGTTTGGCATTATAATCACCACCAGCAATAAATTTGCTTCCAAGTCCAGTCAGTAGGGATTCAAATTCTGATTGAATCCATCTTTCTGCTGGAGGTAGGTAAATCGCCGCTAATGTGACATTCCCTTCTGAAGTCTCTAACTGGACGCTCGCTATCTGTCTGTCGTTGCTAGAGGCGGGGGGCAGGGGATTGTGACTAAGGGAATCCTTTATTATGACTGCAGAGCCACCTCTGCTGTTGCGCTGACCATCGCGGATGTGAGTTTCTGTTGCAAGCATTATGTCTATGTTATGAGCGCTGAGGAATAATCGAAGCTCTTCAGATACTCTGACTAGTCCACGAGCGTTCCACAATCCGATGTTTAAAACTGGTTGAGTTATTTCGGCAATCGCGCAATGAGAACCTGGACCAGCTCTCTGAAAGCCTTGTTGGACTCTGCATTTTCCTGCATCAGCTTAAATAGGGTGTCCAGTTTGGAATTGATGTCGCGGATGGCATTATCTATCGCTGTGAACTTATGGCTCAGTCTAGGGTCGGAAGGAGAGCTTGCGTTCGAAGTGCGACAGGAACAAGGAAACGCCCGGAATGACGGCTAGACTTTTTGAATCGGCAATGATGCCAGTGTTTCCCATGACCACGGCTGAGGCGGATGAAGTGTTGAAGAAACTGTTCCTGCTTTCGGCTAGTTATTAAAGGCTCGAAAAATGTACCGAAAGAAACAAAAAAATGTTCCATGATCGCGCAATCATTAATAGAATTCACTTCCATAATTCCGTGTAAGTAGCTTGGGGATATAAAAATGTTACTGTGGACGGCAGTGCACAGGAGACTACCATATATATTTAAAAAGCACAATGGAATCGTCGCTGCTCCAGTGGTCGCCAAGAACGCAGCTGCTCCTTTGGCCTATTCTTCATCTTTGGCTTACTACTCCCCCTTGGCCTACTCCGCCCCCCTTAGCTACGCCGCTGATCCAGCACCTCTCTTCATTTAATCAAATGTAAAATGTGATATATTATAATTGACGAAATTACAAAACTGTTGAAATTGAATGCAAGTTTTTACAATGTTTGTGTTTGTTAATCTGGGGGTCTTGACTATCCTGGATGAATATCTGCGGGACAATGCACATTCATTAGCGGTTAAGAGTTTCCATTGAGGTCCAATTCCAAGCCGACACTCTTAAAATTAAAATAGTTGGTCCTCGATTTTAAAATAAGGGCACTAAAATGGTTTCAAAAACTTAAATTACTTACATAGTTTACTACATATAACTTCCCAGGGCAACCGGTTTAATTATTTCTGGATCTTCTATGGGCACTACGGCGGTAAATTGAAGAAAATTCAAATGTTATAAATACGGAAATGGTTCTAGCTTCCCAGCCTTAAATGGAAATATATTTACCGTTCCTACCCGTACAAAGAACTTTTTGACTCAGAATTTATTTTATTAAATATTTTATTGGTGCTTCCCGCAGTTGTAATATATATACATAATTAAAATATTATTGCTAATAAAAACACTCTTCAAAAAAAACAGTTGCAATGGAAAAAGTAGTTCTACATAAACCATTTTGTTAGATTACCAAAAAAATAATGATACTAAAAATTAATTTTATTAGATTTTCAAAAAGTAATTCTATTGAGTCCCAAAAGTAATGCCATTACTAAGATGACCTATAGTTATGCTACTGAAATAATATTAGGTACAATATTCTAACTAGCATAATTTTTTTAAAAGGTTACTTTTTTTGTTAACTAAAAATTAGTATTTTTTAAGCAAGGATTTAAATAAGTCGCGAATTGACTAGAAGTAGAAGTACCATTAAATTTAAAGCTGACTATTAATTTGAATCTTAGTTTGTTGTAGCTTTGAGGATTCAAAGAATATGCGTTGTTATAATAAAATGAACTTTATTAGGTTTGCAACTGAAATTTAATTTGTGGTGTCACGGAACAATACATTTCAAAGCTTTTTAAAATATCCAACCAAGAGAAATCTTTATATTTGTAAAACATTTATTTGCTTTAAAAGTAACAAGCTTTTCAAAATGACATCCGATAAATTTTGGTTCTTTTTGCCGATGAGCATCTCTAAATAGCTAAAGAGGCGCTCTTCTTGTGAATTAACAAATTTCCCAGGAACTTCAATGTATAATTAATGACGAGTGCTAGGCTACCGTTCACTGAACCAGTAGCCATTGTTTTCGAAATCGAGATAGCCAAGGAGCAGATGAGGCCCCGATGTCAAGAATGGTGCATCAGTTTGCTTCTCCAGGAGAATGGGTGGCAGAATAGCTTTACAGTTCGCCACGAGGACTACGAGGACGTCGCGGACCAAAACATGTGGAAATACAGTGATCCGGAAGCAAAAGAACTCCTCTTCATGAGGAATCAGTAATATAATTTCAAGGCCGCGGAGCGTTTGGGGCGAACGTTGGTGTTTCCGCCCTTACCTGATCTTCGGGAGAACCTGATCCAGATGAACTGGTAAGGGCGAAACAACCAACATTCTCCCCAAATGTTTCGCCGACTTGAAGCCATATTACCGGTTCCACTTGGAGCGGAGTCTTTTGGCTTGCGGGTTCCTGTACTCCGACATATTTTGGTCAATGATATCCTCGAAGTCATCGAGAAAAGCTGTGAATCCATTCTGCCAATCGTTCTCAGAGGGAGACATTCTGATGCACTTTCCTGGACTTTGGGCTTCATCTGCTCCTTGGCAAGCTCGCTTTCCAAAATAATGGTTTCTGGTTCCGAGGACGGTAGCTTAGCACTCCCGTAATTGATTATGAATTGCAGTTGCTGGGGAATCGTGTTACTACACTGCTGAAGTCAATCCTGAATTGCTGCCTAACCTTGGAGTTTCGGCAGGAATGATCCAATATCTTTACCATCAAGAAAAACGGGACGCTCTGGTCTAAGCTTATTCAGTTGAACTTCTTTAACAGTTATCACGTCGTCTTCAGAAAAACTTCCCGTGAACAGCGGCTCCACAGCATCGATTTATAGAGTTAATTCTTCAGTTACCATAACATCCGTTGCCTGCGTCGGAACAAGAAATTTGGGCTCTAACAGGCCGATAAGGACGTCTCGATTTGTCTCATGGTCTTTTGCTAAGCTCAATAGCTCATCAAACTCTTCAATATCGCTGTGATCTCCAGGGTCCGCTCGACTTTCTCATCAATAGTTATGTGATCAAGGACGATTTCTCCACCATGAACGTGACGATACTAGGTATCATTGATAGACTTGCCGTCTATTTTCCAGTTGGAAAGTGCACCCGCAGCATTATTTTCTTAAAGAATTAATTTTAAGGAAGACCCCTCGGAAATCAGGCATTCCAGTTCTTTTTGAGGTAGAAATTTCTTCTGACATTCCATATAACATAGATGCCACTCTGCTTCCGACTGCGGCACCAAGCCCTCCTTCAGGCCCTTGAAGTGCTTTCAAATATCCAGGGATTCCCCGGATGTCAAAATTCAAAACGACCCTATAAAGACAAAACTTGTCGGGCGACTCTTCTAGAATCGGGGTATTAAAATGGTTTTAAAAACTAAGTTATTTACCTTATTTAATACATATGACTTATCAGGACAAAATAAGTTCAGAGGAGATGTCTGTTTGTAAGGGTTTGTTTATTTCTGGATCTTCCGTTGGTACTAAGGCGCTAAATGGAAAAAAAAACGTACGATATAAATTCATTTTTCACTGAAATAATTAGTAAAGGGTCTACCTGTCCAGAGAATTCTTAAAATCAGAATTCATCCATTTGTCCTTTCAACATTGCTGCTTCTTAATTTACCTTTGTCCTCAATGTCAACTATAGTAACCTTCGTCCGCATATCATCGCTGATCAAGTGTTTTATAAACTGTTCGTCCTCCTCTGAGCCTGAATCAGATGAATTCCTGCAGTCAGGCGTATTTCTTTACCAATTCGACGGAGTAATAACTTTTATTTCCGACAGACGTGACACCGTGCGAGAAAAAATATTATACTGCATTGTCAGCCGTCAAGTTTTCAACAACTCTATTAGTGTGGCTGCGTTAGCAATTGTCGTTTGATCCCTATCGAAAAAAGTTTTTAATTGAAGTTATGTTTAGGATATTCCCTAAACTGCTGGAAAACTTGGTTAGCTGGTAATCAGGTGCTCAACAACAACAACAACGAGGCTGTTGAATTGCTAAAGTCTAGAGTTATTACTCTATTTATAAAAAGTCATGGCAACTCTGTAACATACTAGTAGGGTGTACTGCGTTTGGGGACAGTACATACTCGATCAATATCACTGGCCGAGTCGATATAGCCATGTCCCTGTGTCCGGGTGAACGCTGTGTTCTCAGTGCAAGCCGCATAAACTGTGGCGCCAACGATTATATTGCTAGAATAAAGATTTAAACAAGACCTATCGATGATCTAAAAAAAATATCCCTGCCCACTCTAACACCCATAACGCTAAAATCTGTATGTTGCCCACATTTTCTAACTATTTTGTAAAAGCTTAGTAAATAAAAAATATTAATTATAAATAAAACAAGGAAGAACGCTATAGTCGAGTACCTCGACTATCAGATACCTGTTACTCAACAAAAGGGACCAAAGGGAAATGGAGATATGCAAGCAGCAAATCGAGATTAAAATGCGTTACGCGTTATGGGCGTTAGAGTGGGCGTGGCAATCGATAGGTATTGACAAGACCAATACATTTCAGTTATAATTTTTTATCTATGGGCGTCACAGGTTTGTGCGGTTTGTGGGCGTTAGAGTGGGCGTGGCATATTCGCGTAACAAACGTGGGCTGCGTACATGGCTACGGAATCTAAATCTGAGATCCCAATTCTATATTTGAGATAGTTTCCGAGATATCCACGTTCATATAACGCTTTTTTGAAGTTTGTGGGCGGTTTGTGGGCGTTAAAATGGGCGTGGCAAACTTGTATTTGGGTCAATCGATCGGTATTGATGAGAACAATAAATTTCAGTTAAAATTTTTATTCTAACATCAAAACTGTAGGAGATACAGTGTTGCGCGGTTTGTGGGCGTTTGCTGAAACAAACTTGCGCTGCGTAAGAAGATCAGGAATCTGCATGCCCAGCTCTTATAGTTTCTGAGATCTCAGCGTTCATCCGGACAGACAGACAGACGGACACACGGACATGTCTAGATCGACTCGGCTAGTGATCTTGATCAAGAATACATATACTTTATGGAGTCGGAAACGCTTCCTTTTGTATAACCTTTTACTCTTCGAGTAACGGGTATAATAAATTGATTATACGGCCGAAAGTCTCAGCAGCTATGGCCGATTCCTCCCTGTACCTTAAGTTTTAAACTTTTGGCATCAGAGTACAATAAATAAATAAATTGATTATTTCCGGGGGGAAGCAAAAATATCTTGCAACTCCTGAAATATGAAATTTTTTCATGCATTTAAAAGGCTATAACCCTTTAATTATCTGACACTTATTATTGACCTTTCTTTCTCGATTTAGTCTAATGATGCTTAAACCAAGAACGGCATTTTAAATAACCAATTGTTATTTACTAATCCATCTAAAAAGCAAACATCTTTGTGGCAATATTCGTTTATAATAAATTTATATGTATTCTCGTAGGTGATCACAGTTTGATTTAGATAAATAGTGGTGCGTGAGCAGCTGCGTAGCTAAGGGGGGCGGAGTAAGCCAAGGGGGAGGAGTAAGCCAAGGGGGAGGAATAGGCCAAAGGAGCAGCCAGAGGAGCAGCTGCGTACTTGGCGACCACTGGAGCAGCCACGGGAGCAATCACTGGAGCGGCGGCGATTCCATTGTAGTTCCTGGCGATCACCTGGCTGCTGGTGGCGGTCACGACTGGAGCAGGAGCAGCGACCACTGCAGCGGGAGCAGAGTAGGCCAGGGGAGAAGTGTAGGCCAGCGGAGCACCCAGGAGACCGGGCTTGGCAGCAACGCAGGCAACGATGGCCAGGATGACAACAGCCTGTGGATAAGCTAATTGAGTTAATACAATCCTTTGAAGTAC